TTGTGTGTTTAATGTCACTGAGGTGCGGACAGTCTAAGGTAGCTTTGGAGATATCTCACGTGTTTCGTGTGAAAAAGTTACTGTTGTGTGACTGATATGTGAACACTTGGGGTGGTCCGAATAGACCGTTGGAATGTAAATCACTGAATAGATAGAGCGAGAAACATTCGGTAGTTTTTAAAGTTACATCCCCTGTGGTTGGGTGTGAGATATGGCCTTTGAAGAGAGAAAGTGGTTCATGTTACTCCATCTGCACTGTCAGTTGAATGTCTCGCGGCGCAGCAGGAGTCATGATGTTCATTTGTTTATTGTTTGACGGCTAAATTGCATGATTTCTCCAGAAAAAGCGGTTATTGTACAGAGATCTATGGTATGTAAATATGCGCAGCTGTCAGCACTTTGTGGTAACTGGCAACCCTGAGTCATCTGGTAACATCTGGTCGACTCATCATTTAGCACCACATGACAACTACGGCGAAATCAAAGCACATGCTCGTAAAGCACAATTCACATGGCAAACGAGAGCGACCTTACACAAATTAACCGTACGATCCGGTCGCTACGAACTTATTAGACCGTGTGACCGCACTAACCACACGGTATTTCATGGTCGGTGTGAACCCAGCTATTATTTATGACAGCGTGACACTGCGCGTATGGATCCTGGATTGAACTGTACCGTATTGAGACATCTTGTGATTCCCACACGCATAATTATTGTGGCCGTACTAGAGGGGATGCCCGGATGGGAATAAAAAGTCACGAGGCATCATCGTGAATCAATGTGGGTGATTAACCGAAGTGCAATGTTACAAAAGTCACGAGACGTTATAAATAAACGTGACCGAATTTCAGTGAAGGACAAAAAGGACCCGTTCACTGAAGGTCCTTTATGACGTTATTACCAGCATTTAGCTACAGCCCACATTCTATCCTGGAGTATCTGCCATGGATCAGATCATGATATCCCGACGGTATAACGGTGACAAACTGTTCACTTTGTATCTTTTCCGATGGATTCAAGCGAGGATATGAGGCAGAGGCTAAACGGAGGGAACATTCGCTCGCTACTAGAACTGCAACATGCATCATGTACGTTGCCAGTAGCATGCAACATGGCCAATAGCCATGTCACTCTTGATTAATATCCAGTAATAGGTAATCTATTATAGCAATCTGCCTTATCGTCCTAAACATTATTCAGCTCAGCCTTATGTTAAATAACTGTCCGTTGGCATGGAAAACTATCTGGTTTTTAATGCAGACTTATTCTGTATGAAAGAGAAACCATCCGTCCCCAAAACCACGCTTGCCCTGGGGTTTCGAATCCGATGCACTACGAAGCCATCAATCAGATGATGAGCAAATGTTACCAAATGCTACCAAATGTATCAGTGTCGTGACCGGGGTCGTACGAATCACATCAAACGGTAATACTTCATGTAATGCACCGCTGAATTCGCGCCATTGGGAAATGCAGAGGTATGCTTTTAGTGTCGGAGTACCTGCATACTAAAGAGATAGTGAGTGCTGAGGTCATTCATTATTCGCTGTGTCGGCTCTACTATGGTTGAAAAGTTTAGAGCTAAAGACGGTGCATATAATAAGTGGGCAAGTGGAGTGCGACTGAACAGCTATTCGGCCCTAGGTCCATTCCAATGGGTCTGTTCGTAAACGGGATTAAGATGAATCTTGATTTCAACTACTTCTGATAATTAGTTAAGATGTGCTGTAAGACACCGAAACAGGGTACAAGAACGATTCCACTTACTGTTGTCGAAATTCCATCCAGAAGCTGTTTCTAACGTCCCCAATGCCAGCAGCAACCACAGCTGAAATAAGAGAAAAACACCGAATAAACATTCGCCGAATCAACCTCGGCATACAATTGCTGAGAAGAGGTTAAAACAAGCTTGCGATTTAAATTTGAATACACTCATTATTAGTGGTCATAAGCCTTGACACACATATCCATGCTAGGAAAGGCAAAACAAAGTTACAATACAGATTAACAGGGTTATCATGTGTAGAAAATAGCCATTTATTGGTGACAATTTTATTGTCTACAATCACATGGTTTCACATGGTTCCTTTTCTGGCACGATATGACCATAGGCAAGGCCCTTACATTCCTTCAAATGGACTCCTTCACATCGAGTTCAATTTCGATAAGAAATTCTGTTCATTATTTTTAATTTAGTACACCAGAAATAACATCACATTCCTCAAACGCATTGCACAACGACTAAATAACTAGACAAGCTCTAAATTAGGCATAAAAAGACGACGGTGAGCTGTATAGTCGACTACAGAATGATGTTCCACTCCTCAGAAGCTAGTTGACTGGAGCGCTAAGTTGTGCCGTTCATCACGCAATTAAGCGTGTCGATTGTGAGCATTGGGACAAAGCTATAATTTGTGAGCTCAGCCCGTGTAATGCGGCACAGCCTACCACTTCAGGCAAATAATTGCCTGTGAAAAGTGGAACATCATTCTGTAGTCGACTATACAATCACAGCGCGATGACCCAGCGCCATTCTGGGCGTCCGAAATTTCTCGCTAAATTTCTCGTCTGGCACGGGCAGCTTTACATTGCCGTTTTCTGGTCAGGAACAGGTTTGCATATTCATTGAACGATGACAGGGGTGGTTCACACCGGGTCTGCAACTCACCGCCTAAGCAGTAAGGTACACCGCAACATTGACTGTATGGCTAATAGTCACGTGCATGCTTTCCCACAGTTATCTACGCGAGTTTCAACACTTGTGGACGGGCCACTAAGTGGTCGTTGGGGGAAACCCGTGACTTTAAAATTTGGGCGGTAAGCTCAATAGGTGGCAGAAGTAGAAATTGTCTGTTTTTTAATTTGGTAAGTTTCTTTCAAACGGTCTCAAGTGTTTTGGTACTGATGCAAACTTATCATACAATGCGCATCATTTGCCCCCCCCCCCCAAAAAAAAACTAGATCACCTAAAGCAGAGGGAACCACATTTTCTGTTTGGGATGAGTGAAGGCATTATCATCTGCATGTTTAGAACGGGTGTACATAGACTGTGGAGGCAGTAGACTAAGTAAAAAAGGTCAAAGGATCACACATTCGTGATAAGGTATAAATCGTCTCCGCCATTGACCTACGGAAACGTAGCCGATGCGCCGATTACTGCACAAATTTACATCAGTATCAGCGGTGTCACGGGTGTTATTCACCCATTATTTAGGTACAGCCCTACCCATCATTGGAAAGCTATTCACAGCAGTCAATGACTTAGTGTAACTAGGTCACTCACCAATCTCACTGGTCCCATGGTGCCTCTCCTCTGCAGCGATAACCTCCCGAGCAGGGTACCGAGTTGCACGCCAACTCTTCAGAAGACCGCTGTGCAGGCCGTCACTATAGCACTATATCGTCACTACAATGTCACTATACGATCTTTTCGGTGCTACACTATCACCGGCACCGCCCGAATGTTTCGCTCAAAACTTTTTCAATAGCTCCGTGCCAATGATAAGAGGGCAAATAATAGTGCCTTAGTGTCACTAGCCACAACACAAATAAAACACGTGGCTATGAGCACTACGACGACACTACCGTAACACTAAGTCACAACTAAGTCTTCACCGGTCACAACCGCATTCAATCGTCCCCCTCATTAGCCAGCCGAGCTAAACTGAGCTTAAAGGAGCTAAACTGAGCTCAACTGAGCCAAAGTGAGCTAATATGAGCTGACCGTGAGCTCGGGTGAGCGGCGTGCTGGCCGCGAGCTGTGCGACTGAAGCCATGGCACGGCGGCGACGGAGTTTTATACCGAAGAGAGAGTGTGGAGTGGAGAGAGAGAGGGGGCACGGTGAGGTCTGGAGGAGATCGCTCTCAATGTCTAGGATCTAGCTTACAGGGGGCTATGATCATATTGCTGGATCTCATGGAATCATGGGAGGATCTCAAACCGATCACAGAAGACGTGAATTTCTTCCTATGTGAGTTTATTCGTCACTTTCGCAGGACCCCCATGCCATGATCTCTGATGGCCTATTCTTCTCTGAGTGGATCCCGTAGGATCATTATCAGGGCTGCGGAGTCGGAGTCGGTCGTAGTCGACAGTTCTGACCCCCCCCCCCCCCCCCTTGTGCCGTCGAAGGACTCAAAATGGCCTGTGCCGGCGAGGGTTAATGCATATTTGCAACGCAAAGCCTTGGAACGCACAAGGGATCGTTTCAGGCAAGATAAAAACATCTCCATTATGGACTTCAATAGGTATAGGCATCATGATATGGATTTTAATAGAACCGACAGGAGTCGGAGTCGGAGTTGGAGCCGGAGTCGGAGTCGCCCTAAAATCCATCGACTCGGCAGCCCTGGTCATTAGGTATAAACACTCAAACATCGAGTAACAAAAACAATAATTGAATATCGAACGGGGAAAGTGCACCCTTGCCCTCTCTTTATGTATGCATCTGAGGTCATCCCGGGCCTTGAAAGGCCTGAGTTTTTTATTATCACTTTTACTAAAAACCAGAGCAATGAAACCACCTTAGATGTGATGAGGTCAACGATACGGATAGACTGATAAGCTGACTGAAAGCAACACAGCCTTTTCCTGTCAGTTTATGACCTTGACCTAAGGTCAACTTTTTGTTCGTTCGATGAATCTCGCCGAGAGAAACGCGATGCAGGGAAAAAATGTCATGTGAGTTTTGTGGCAAAAATATTGTAAAACCTCCCGTTTAGAAATGGTTCCTTTTTGAAGTTCGTATACAAACGCTTGGATGAATATGTAAATCCCTGCGATTTTCACTTTCCAGAGTTTTAGATGGTGTGAAAGAATATAGCGTGATGCCTGTGGAGACATCCTCTTCGGTTGTAGAATAATCCATATCTTTATTTAGACTAAGGCATTTTTCAAGAACATGATGGTCAAACTGAAAACGACTTTCTTGGTGTATCGTTCAAAACACAGGCATAAAAAAAAATGTTCAAGACAGCACCCAACCAAACAATGCGATTACGAAGATCATCATTGTGTATTCCACCCTGTAACAATCATTCCACAACAAATGATATAAAAGCACCTTCAAATGACGTCATCTCATCACCCCCTATGACGTCACCGCGGTCCCCATAAGGCCGGCCGACTCCACGGCGGCGGCTGGTTCGGCGGTCCGCCGCCAGGTGGCAGGCCGGGCGGCGGAGGCTGGTTCGGGGCCCCGCCACCAGGTGTCAGGCCGAACGCCGGCCGGGCGGGGAAGGGAGGAGGGGGCTGCCCAAAGCCGCCCGGTGGGGGCGGGGGGTGACTGAAGGTCCCCGGTGGGGGTGCGGGAGGGGGAGGTCGGTTGTAGGGTCCTGGAGGCGGGTGATGCCACCGCATCGCAGGTCCAGCACTGAAACAGGCAGCGGGAACAGACGTCAACAAACTGCAGGGAACGACAGAAAAGGCAGAATCAATATTCTAGATTGGTTCTGCGCAGTTGCATGAATATCTGCGTGAAAAAGAGTTTCCACCCTGCCCGCCATTGAAAAAGCAACATTACGTTACGTTATATCCACACCAACCTTATGCTTTTACGTGCTAACTGCTAATTATTACCGTTCTTTGAGAAAACTACGACAGTCACGGTAAAACATGTGTAGGTATCTGCTCCAAATTCAAAGACGCTACACACAAAATAAATAAATAAACCATGCTTACCTGGGCGGCCGATGCCCGTAGAACGGATTTCTAGGGGGCGCCGGCATCCACGGCGGCCGAGCCCCTCCCCCTCCTCCTGGTGGACCGCCCCCTCCCCTTCCGCCGCGTCCCCTCCCCCGCCCCCGCTCCGGGCGGGAGGTGGGCCGGGACGAGGGAGGGTCTTCGTTAGGGGGATCTGCTGAGTCGGAGGTGCCCTGAATCTGAAATACGAGAAACGAACGGCACGTGAGAAAATGATGGTTTACGTTTAAATACGAGCAATCTAAAGAAAAAAGTAATTTGATTCATATAGAGACAAACAGAAAAAACGCACGTAAGAAATGCTCCATAGAAAAGCGAAAACAGAAATGCGTAATAACAAAGAAGCACACAGGGGGTGAATGAATGAATGAATGTTATGGGTTCCTTCCACTTTTATTCTGGCAGTCCCTAACTCCCCTAATCTCAATCTATGAGACTTTCTCGGTACCGGTAAAGCTGGCGTCACCGTCAGCGTATATCTTATAGTAGGCGAGAAACTGCAGACTGGTGTAGGTTGGTAGGTTGTAGGAGTAGGTTAGGTTAGGTAAGGTTACATGATATGCCGACGGTGACGGCAGCTTTATCGATATCACCACCTTTTCTTCCCTCGACGCCTACTGAACAAGCAAAGCAACCACCACAGGTCCCTAAGAAGCCCGTACCGTTCGTTTTCTGTTCTGCCGTTTGAAGTTCCGCTCCTCCTCGTCGTCAGAGAAATCACGACAGTTCTCCGGTGGCTCGTTCGAATCCCACCAACTGGCGTCAGAGCCACGCATTCTGCAAAAAAAAGTCGGGTAAGTAAGGTGAATGGGTGCGAAGGGAGATGGTGGAGAGGCTAATATAAATTTTTCAGTCATGATAGGAAGAGAACGTATAAACATTTCCGAATATGAATGCAAAGTGTCGTGTCGTGGACCAAATGGTAAGGTAGACTTCAACCCAAGGTTAGAAACGGAAAAGTTATGCCCCCGGTGAGGATCGAACTCACGACCTTCAGATTATGAGACTGACGCGCTGCCTACTGCGCTACGGAGGCTGGTGGGTGCTGGCGGGTTATAAGTTCATCAGGCAATGTTCGACCCATACACAAAGCGCCGTCAAACCTTAGCAGTAACGTTTTCTCATCTCTTGCAATATCTACATTTGCTAAACTTTCTATATGGGCTGACATCCACGACCAATCCCTAAATAGGGCCTTACGACAAAGCTAAGCACGTGACGAGCGCGCTTCTACATGTGGGAGCGATGGTGAACGGTCCAAATGACGATTTGGACCTCATAACAAGCCAGTCAGTGGTTCGACCCGGTTGATACGGCGGTAAGACCGATGATTATTCGTGTAATAGAATTAGGAAGGCTGCAATGACCGCCCATGGCTACCGGCCTCAACAAGGTCAACTCCCCTATGTGGGCACTGGGCAGGCACCGTCTACTCCTGCAAGGAGGCTTCATTGACAGCGAGGTTCACGTTGGCGATTGGCCCTTCTCATAAGTAGAACTCTTCACCATGGCGAATTGACCGAATTTACATCGTTTGATTACATCGCATAGCAAACGTCGGTAATATGCATTAAAAACAAACATTGAAATAAATATAAATAGGCAGGGCACTGAACAAGGAAGCCATTTAAGCCGACATCTCCTTATCCATCTTTGCGAATGAAATAAAAGGTACCTAAAATGAAGCCGAAGGGAAAAGGGGTTAATATAGCATAGTTGGTTTTCTTTTTGGTGGTAATAGAAGCGACATAACTAAAAACTTTTTCACGATTTCAGACTTGACTGGAGGGGTAAACGCTCGAAATGTCCCAACAGCTTAAAGTCAGCCAGCGTTTTTTAATTATCCGTTAAAAGTTCAGTCCATCTCACGCACTAAAGATGCTGCAGTAGTTATAAACTCACTTTCTGAGGGCCTCCACGAACACATAGTGGCTGTACTCGGCAGAACCTGGAGCGTAGAATACCTCGGCGCCTGGCTGGACACCGAACTCCTCAATCTCCTGAAATGAAGGAGCATGTGCATTGTGCATCACAAAACATGACATTTTCAAAAGGATGTCACTAGCCTCTATCCAGGGTGACTGACCCCATCCCAGGTCATTGGCCCTGCCCCAGGTCACATAGCACGCCCTTCATAAGATGGGGGAAGTGTTCCACAGTCGCTTAATCTAACCCAGGTCACAGACACAGGCACCATCCCAAGTCATTAGTATCACTCCAATAGGTATCACTGACCCATCTCACAGGTCATGTCACTAATTAATGTCACTATAGTCTGTTCCATATCAAGCTTGCGGTCGGAGATCCTTCGGCAGTTCGCTCCTCCGTTCAATAGTTTGCGTCTTTGAATGTAGAGCTGTACCTATCAGCTGCATGTAGAAAAAATCTCGCACTGCTTTCAGCAGAGCACTTCGGCCGCAAGCTTGACATGGCACAGACTATAATCCCGTCAGTCCCAGGCCCCTCACCTTGGGTGTGTTGAACCGGACGCAGTAGGCGGCCTCGGCTACAGGTCCCATGACGTCGTACACTCTGCCGAGAGGGCGGCGTCCTCTTTCCAGGAAGAGTACAGAGTCGATATCGAGAGCCGGAGAACCGGGTACAGACTGGACCACCACTGTCGGAAGGGGGGGGGGGGGTACATTGTCAGTGGGGTGGGGGAGGGGTGTACAGAGTAAATGTCGAGAGCAGGGGAACCGGGTACAGACTGGACCACCAATGCCGGGGGTGATGTGATGATGATTTGGTGTTTTAGGGCGCAAGGAGAGCTGGGGACCCACTGCCGGGGGAGGGGGAGGGGAGGTTACTGATTGAAATATCTGTCTGTGGAGGAGGGACGTCCACCGGCCCATCTAGAGACATTTCTGATATATCTGAAGACCTACCGAAACAGTCCACAACTCCATTTAGAGACATTTCTGATAGTCTACATAGTGACTTACCGATACAGTCCACCATGCTGGCCACCACGCCCACTTTGGTGCGTTGATTAATCTAGAGTTATTTCTGATATATCTAGTGACTTACCGAGACAGTCGACCACACTGGTTACCACTCCCACTTTAGTGCACTGATCCTCCGGCAGAACGATGTGAAGGTGCTCAATGGGAGGAAGGTCCAGCAAACCTGACGGGGGATAGAAACAGCAGGGAGTCAGGGCATGGCAAAGAAGATAATTGTTACATGATGTTAGAACTGGAAACACCAACGTCATGCCACGCCTTTATCAAACTGCATCAATCAGCCAGAGCTTTGCAAAGCCCACAAAAAGGAAACGAATTAACCATTGCAAAATCATGACCGAAAACTGACAAGTAGCAGAGAAACGTGAAACGGTTGAGAAAGATGAAAAAACGTGTGCCTTCAAAATCGGAAATAGGGCAAGGCGCAATCATTCGGTCATATTCAGTCGCGAAGTCATGACCTGCCCCCCCCCCCCCCCAAAAAAAAAATCCTGTCAAGTTCCTCAGTGGCCCTCAAACAAAGTACTCACATAGTTCTCCTTTGGTCATCGGACCAAACACACTCCGCGTTTGATCCGTCTCGCCATCCTCCTCCTCCTTGTCTATTTCGGCGGCGGGCTCCGAGTCCGAGTCTGACGAGCTTGAGGAGCTGACGGCGGTAGAGTGGGAGGTTTGTGAATAAAACGGACAGCAAGCCCGACGACGGAGCTCAGCAGCGAGGCAACAACTAGGAAAAACTGAAGGAGCTGACGGCGGTAGAGCGGGCAGTTTGTGAATAAAACGGACAGCAAGCCTGATACATAGGCTCAGAGACCTAAAATGACCTAGAATAAAGAATTACAAAATGATTCTATTTTGCAGCTTGGCACTATAAATACTGTAATCAATAATATTTCCTGACATTGCAGGAACGAAAAATAGGCGAGCTCAAAATCAACTGATTCGAGTCCTAACTGGCGAGCTCAAAATCAGTTCGTATATCCTCGTGATAAGCCAAGGTTTCGTCAAAAAGCAGCTGAACTGGCCAAATTTCGATAGATAAAAAATAACTTGTATAATGTATATCAATTGGTTTCACGTCTCGCAATACCCATCGACAAAAAGCAGCATTGCAACAGTGCAGCTTGATTACAAACTACAAGAAATAACCTCTCATAAACTCTCTCAATTAGTATTACCTATCTGATTCTCCTATTTATCAGTCTGAATCTTCTCTTCACAGGCCGTACCTATCTGACGACTCGTCCGCCGACTCGCTATCAGACTCAGAGTCACCGCTCCACGGCGCGGCCAGAGAGTCACGATAGAGTCCCTCGCGGTCCACCGTCAACTCCGGCTCCACGGCCATCGCTGTGAAAATGACGTCACTGGAGTCAAATGGGGTGATAAATGACGTCACTGGAGTTCGACGGCGCGGGTGCGATATTTAATTTATCGGGATTACATGCGTGGAAGGTTGAAATTTGAAGGTGTTATTGTGAATAAATAAAGTTACCTACGATGGACTGTAAAATGGCTGGGTGTGAAATTTGAAAAGCTCATGAGTTACATTTATGCTATCTCAACATCAACATGACAAAAATTATGCATAGTAATACACTTGTAGGAATAAGGTGTGGGGCTGAGGCAGAACAATTTATACACAAAAAGCCCCCCCCCCCAAAAAAAAAGGAAAAAAGAGGAATAGAATAAAGGAAAATGTGTTGGGAAGATGTCGATAAAAATGCAGTCGAATATTTTTCCATTATCTAAATGAAACACATACCTGTATCCTCCTCTTCTGAATCATCGGCTCCATCAGAATTGTAGCCTGCCAGCATGGCCAAAGCACCTGATGCTGCCATCTTCTGGCCAGAATCCGAACTAGAAGTTGTGTTGTCAACTGCAGGTGCTGGATTTACAGTTGCCATGGTAACATCTGTTGCCATGAGGGATGATGATGATGATTCTGATACTGGTGGAATGATCTGTGATGATGAAGGTGTGTTGGGTTGATGAACTGATGGTATTTCTGAAGAATTTACAGACTCCTCTGTAGGTTCTACAGGCACATTCCCACTTGATTGTGAATATCCTGAGCCAGCTTCTATGCTGACAGGAGGGTTTTCCAATGTCTCACTCTCAGTCTTGCTGGAAATGCCAGTTGGACTTTCAGATGAGCCAGTAGCATGGCCTGTCACAAATTCTCCAGCATGTTCACCAGCTCCAATCTTTCCACAGTCACCAGCACCAGTGGGCTGTAGAGTGGTGACACTGGTTACATAATGGGTGATCATGGAGTCATCTGTCAGAGACACATCACCAGCAGTTGCAGAGTCTCTCTCAACTGAAGCACCAGCCCCGTTTAATATTACAGCAGGAGCTGCCGCTGGGAGCGAACCAGACCCAGGAGACGTCGGCTCTGCTGGATGTGCTGATTCTTCAGCAACAGGTGCCTGGGCTGCAGGCTCTTCAGAAAATGATGCTGACTGAGGTGTGTTGCCATTGGCAGGCTCATCAGGATTGATGGCGTCTGTCGTTGTAATGTCATTTGACATATTGCTGGCAGAATACTTGGTGTTGAAAGTACACTAGCACATCATCACCTGTAAAGAAGATAGCAAATGTCACATGATACCTCTTCTTAAGAATAGGTAGTTTAAGTTGAAATTGAAGTAAAAGTACCTACTAATTTCATCAATATCGAGAACACATCAGTCGGTGACACACCAGGGAAATAAGCTAAAATTAGAGCGCTCTATTTATTGCTTCCGCTACTTCACCGTCTCCCATAGGGTCCTGTGTTGAGCTGGTGTCGAGGCTCTAAAAATGACGCCGATTTTTGCACCCATCTCACGAAAACCGCTCGGACCGCCTGGAAACTAATTGTTCCGCTCTAAAAATTTCATGATCGACGGGAAAATGAACGAGGAAAAGATTGGTCCTGAAATAATTCTGAACTCCCTGTAGAACATATCGAAATATGGCTGCAAACTAGGAGCATGTCAAAATCGACAAAACAATACAAATAAACTTACTGGGATTTTTTATTTTCCATGCATCTGTGTATGAAATCAGTCGGTTTTCCGGAAAGAGCATCTTCTGTTTAATAAATAATTCCACAATTGCAATCGAGAAAAAAAAAATATTTCTGCTGTGACAGCAGTTTTGGCATTGTGCCAGTAGTGTGGCGTGCGCGGTGCTGCGTGGTCGTCGGGACGGAGTTGTGAGTATTTTCGGTGTTTTAAATGGTTGATGGCCATTTGAACCAGCTTTATATTATTTCCTACAAATTTTTGCATCAAATTATTGCTTTGAAAGACCATTGAAACCCCTTATCTCTTCATGAAACACGATCAAATCATTGTCGACGAAAATGGCGCGGGACCCCATGTGCGTTCCGATCGAAATAAATCGTAAATTAAATAATATTCGATGATAAGTATCATATTCTAGCGACACATTTTCATAAAATAAGGCATAAACTTTGCAAGGAAGTCAACATTGGTTAATTGGATTCTTATTTTGCTCACATATCCTTGTGTAGTCAAATGGCTCACAATTGTTAGATAAATGTAAGCATATGTTTTGGCTTGATGTTTGCTGTGAAACCACCCAGCCACTTGCTGGTTGAGTGGTTTTTTGATAAGTACCTGATAATCATTTCTCCTTTTCCTTAAAAGAAACAAATTCTTTTCAAAGTAATCCATTTTTAGGAAAGGCGACTTGCTCATTGACATTTCATGTTCTTGTTTTGTTATTGCTGGCAGTATTTTGATACAATAATGCAATATGAATTTTTTGCAATAATAAAACCTAAGACAAACCTAGTTAATGCGTCAATCAAACACCCAACAGAAAGATTGTGAGTCCTTGTGACGTGAAGTAGAATATTCTATGAATGTGTTATATAGAATATGCCAAATTTTAACTTAATTTATTATTTGATACTGATAGCTGAGCATGTGAATTATGCCACAATATAATTTCATTTTCTGGTTTTGAAATATTTTACTTCAACAAATGTAATATACATGAAATACATGTTGTTATGCTATGTTAAAAGTTTAATAACAGCAAACAGAAGGGGCTGTTTCAGCAGATAATGTTTGTACCTTATGCATTACCTTTCTTTTCTGCAGGACCATGCTTCCGCTGGGTGGTCGACATTTGCCTCCTGAAGAAGTTGAGCAACATGAAGACCACCAGATGAGGTGTCTGCAGTTCATGTGGAACTCTGCAGACTACAAGTGTTATGCCAACCACAACCAAAGTGCTGTGATCATGGAGGCATGAACCTCATGACAACACTTCAGATTTGCAGTTGTACCAAAGTGTGATTCAAACCACCTGTGGCATCTCACTCAATGTGTGAACAGTGTGATCATTGTGCAGTGTTCAGCTGCAACTAAGACATTTATTAGTGACTTGCTTTGCAATTAGCCACCAAAAGCATTTTTGGGCTGGCTGCTGTAATTTGTTGTGCACTGCGCAATAGTGGTAGTGTTTTGTCACTTGTCAAGTTGTCAGTTGTGCATGTTGCATGTTTCTCTTCCCTCGGCTCTCATTATCAGTTAAGTGGTGAATTGGCATCACTCAGTCTCCCCAGATCTCAATTGACTGTCTGTCAACCACCTAACTTGAGATGGTATTTGCTAGTAGTGTCAGAAAAGAAGTGATTGTAGACATTTTTAGGAATATGAGCTCCGTTTCATGCGTGTTGCATTGGTCATTTTGTCACTTATCCCATAGTGTAATAAATGGAAACTGTTGTTCCCTTTTCAAGGTACTCGCGGATGCAGAAAGCGTTGGACCTAATTATTAAACGCACCCTTCTATCAGCGACGCACGAAATCGACAAATATCATCCTTTTTAGAGCAGGAGGAAACGAAAACTTGTGAACATAGCTGTACCTACAACAGTGCATAAGGAATTGGAATTCTGGGAGTTTTTGAAATTCGGAGAAACTCAAGTTGTCGACAGGTATGCCCCCTTGTACGTCAAAGACCGCCTAAAAAACAAACGTCTTCAAATGAAGGCAGTATTCGTATGTTCGTTGTAATTGCAGCAGCCTAGCAACATGCATTGCGGTCTGATGGCGAATTACACTCGTGCTAAAAAACTATGCCGGTAACTGCCAACGCACTTAGGTCGTAGGTGAGGAGAGGAAGGGTTATGTCAAATGTCAACATCAAAGAAATGGCTTCATCTGAGCTGTGCCTATTGTACATAATTCAACCAATCTATGCATTTCGTTTCTTGCAATCTACTCATGCTTTCACTCCAGCTTCAGAGTAATCATCCCATAGGTATTGTACGTGTTAAGATATTGATTTCTATGGCAGTTCACAATTGCTAGCCACGTCTCATCTCAGTTTGGTGGCCCCGCATCGGCCCACTCGGCCGCTCTAAAATTGACTTACGGAGGAGGATGGTGGCTTTTATTTTAGCTTCTCCGCTGACTGCGGGGAGCGCCGTCGCCGAGGTAGGAGCAACAATTAGCTTATGTTTGAGACTAATTTCCACGCTTAATTAACATTTTAATGTTATTTTAATTAATTCATGTTAATCTTTGACGCATTCTCTTTCTATTGATACCATCCACCGGTCTGAGAATTACTGCCTTGCTGCGTAAGGGCCGATAAAAGATCACGCTTTTAGGGGTATCTCTTCAACATGGGGCAGGAGCAATAAATAGAGCGCTCTAATTTTAGCTTATTTCCCTGGTATGTCACCAACTGACATTGAAACATTGGGCTTTGTGCGAGTACACATAAGTAACAGTAAAATGCATTAATTGAATACAAATTTGTAGGTAAATGATATAGCTAAGTAATGGTTTCAAGGAAAAAAAGCAAAAAGCAATTGTCAACTGATTAAATTAAAACAGACATATTGACATCGGTGATCCGCACGAGATAAAAGGAAATACTTGTAATTTAGGTACTGATAAATGATTAAATCATACGTGTTTCACAAATCTTCGCTTACGACAGATCATATATAATTTGCCAAATTGACAATCGTGTAATGAAACGAATATCGGACACATGTCATGTAAATTATTTCCAAAAACACAATCCACATCCAACCAACCACGTGATGTTTCTCTCGCACTTCAAAAGCATCAAGCCTCCATAGTAAGGAAAATGAAACAGTCAATGGAAGTGAGGAATCAGAAGAAGCAAAGTTTCTTGATGCAATACAGGAGCTCTACCTATATCAGCATGTGCGCGAACCCACTCGTTTCAGAGATGGCCAAGAACCTTCCAGGCTTGACTTGGTGTTTACAAATGAGCAAGGCATGATTGAAGAGATCAGTGTTGGGGTCCCATTAGGGAAAAGTGATCACGCTGTTCTCTCATGGATCCTCTACTTGGGAGACCGACCAGACAGAATGGCAATGAAAGATAAGGCAAACAGTCTGAACTTTGAACGAGCTAATTTCTCAGGGATAAGAGGAGCACTAGGAACTGTTGATTGGAATGTTCTAAATGATTTTTCAGTTGAAGAAACTTGGCAGTACATAAAAGGCAAGATAAATAACTGTTTTGAAACCCTAGTTCCAAAACACAGGAAAGGACCATGCAAGAAGGCTGCACCCTGGTGGAACAGGGAACTGACCAGGGCAGTGAAGTTCAAACATGAATTCTGGAAAAAATATGCTGCAACCAAATCAAGTGAAGACTATAAAGCATACACTGTGCAGCGTAATGCAGCTACAAGCAAAATCAGGGAGCGGAGACATGAATATGAAGCGGCATTAGCCAAAAGCGTCAAACAAAATCCAAAGAAATTGTACAAGTATGTCAGGGCCCAGCAGAAAGTTAAACCAGCTGTACACGCAGTTGAAGATGGAGCAAGATTGACCTCAAGTGACAAAGAAACTGCTGCTGCCCTGCAGGTCTTCTTCAAATCTGTCTTTGTAGAAGAGGGTGATGCTCCCTTACCAGGATTTGAAGATCGATTGCAACCAGAGGAAGCCATCACAGACATAGAAATAACACCTGAATCAATCAAAAATGAGCTTGTCAACCTATGCGAACCAAAAGCACCTGGTCCTGACGGCATTCCCAACATTGTATTGAAGAGGTGTGCAGAACAGCTGACTCAGCCTCTCCACCAACTGTTCAACAAGTCACTGCAAGAGGGTCAAGTACCTCAGGATTGGAAGGATGCAAATATTGTCCCGATATACAAGAAGGGTAACAGAAATAAACCAGGAAACTACAGACCTGTAAGCTTGACCAGCCAAGTTGGGAAAGTGTTGGAAAGGTTAATTAAAAGGAGTGTAACAACTCACCTCGAGAGAAATGACCTCTTGAGCGAGCACCAGCATGGATTTGTATCCAGGAGGTCTTGTCAATCCAACCTACTCGAGGCTCTAGAGCACTGGACGAAAGCTATCGATGATGGACGAGGAGTTGACATACTTTACCTAGACTTCCAAAAGGCTTTTGACAGTGTGCCACACAAGAGACTTATGAAAAAGCTTTCTGGGTATGGCATCAAAGGAAATGTACTGTCTTGGATATGTGACTTTTTAACAAACAGAAGACAACGAGTGGTGATAGGGTCAGACCACTCTGAATGGTGCTCGGTCACCAGTGGGGTCCCCCAAGGATCGGTGTTGGGACCTGTCTTATTCATTATGTTTGTAAATGAGCTCCCAGACCTTGTGCGCAGCAACATGAAAATGTTTGCGGACGACGCCAAGATATATAGACCTATTCAAGTACAACAAGATGCTGAGATACTTCAACAGGACATATTATCCTTGCAGAAGTGGTCCGAAGAATGGCTTTTGAAATTTAACGAATCAAAATGTAAAGTAATGCATTGTGGCTCAAGCAATCCAAATGTTGACTACTTCATGTCTGACGGCACAAACAGTAAAAAGCTGCAAGAAAGTACCTTGGAGAAGGACTTAGGAGTTCACGTGTCAAGTAACTTAAAACCGGCAATACACTGTCAGAAAGCTGCTGCTAAAGGCCGGTCAGCCCTCCGAATGCTAAAACAAGCGTTCGACAGACTCGATCTCGTCAACTTCAAGCCTCTGTTCACCACCTATGTCCGTCCACATCTTGAATATTGTATGCAGGCTGTCGGTCCATACACTGCAAAGGATATCAGGCTGCTGGAACAAGTACAGAGGAGGGCGACAAAGCTTGTCAGACCTATAAGGAACCTACCCTACCCAGAACGCCTCCACAAACTTGGACTTCTTAGCGTGGAAGACAGATTGCGTCGAGGCGACCTCATCGAAACGTACAAGCTCCTAACAGGGAAGGTTAAGGTGGATAGTGAGCAGTTCTTCGAAGTCGACCATGAAGACCGCACTAGAGGACACCATCTGAAACTGAAGAAAGGCAGATCAAGCCATCTGTACAGGCTGAAGTTCTTTTCAAACAGAGTAGTAAACGACTGGAACAAATTGCCAAGAGATGTGGTGGAGGCTCCATCTACAAATACGTTTAAAAACAGGCTAGACCACAGGGCTGCCGAACCTGCCTCCTCGCACCACAATTGACCTCATTCCTAGTCCGGCTCGATGTGAGCACTGAATAGACCTAGTCTACTACAGCTCACTACAACTTCAACTTCAACTTCAAGGAGCTGGAGTAGAATTTCAGTCTCAAAATAATATGTAATGACGTCAATATAAATATTGTTTCATTTGTATTTTGAGCCTTTTTTTCTATTCAGAGCGAGGTTGAATAAATAATAATTTGTAAAATTATTTTATTGAAATAGAATTATAGCAAACACTACATAAATTTGTATTCATTTCATGATGACGCCATTTATGAAAATGATAATTGACAGAAATCACGCCACAAATGTATTTGAAGCGCCATCGTTAATTTGTCTCCTTCCTTGCTGTTTGCCGCGTTTCTTTCGTGCCGTGATATTATTTGAAGATAAGATATTTTTTAATCTTTTTACTATGTTTTTGGCTTATTTTTAAAATGCTGATTGCACTGACCATATCTTTGTTACTCATTTTCTTTAACATGCAAATGCTGGAAGCTGGCAAGCTGTTTGTTAAGTGCATTGTAGTCCATCCAGTTTGTAACGATTCTTTTTGTTCAAATTTATTTTAAGTCATCCTTTTGGTAGTCATGTAATTATTGATGTCTTTTAAATATTTTGATATTAATGCAGGTACTCTCAGCATGTTAGAATATGCATGTCGTCTATTCGAATGTATTGCTATCAAATATTTACTTTCAACGTAACTCTTGCATCTCAAAGCTGTAGCTGAGTTAGTGATCACACTTCACAGCTACACAGGGTCATTATCTTTTGTACCAGTAATTGTTGTTCTGTTTCTTTGTATTTTTAAGTATTACCTCATTTTTATCCTTTCACCTATATAGGACTTCAAATGCAATTTGCAATTGCTGGATTTATGGTTGGTTTGTTTAGGTCTTACAAAATTGTTCGTAAAATAATATTGAATCTCAATATGTGCCTTGAGAGTTGACTTCAATATCAGTCAAATCTTAGATATTTGCTTGTACTTTATTATTGCTAACATAGTTTCTCAATTTGTTTGCAGGCATTGGCAACTTGGCTGGATCCAACCAGCCTGACCTGACCTGACCTGACCTGACCTGACCTGGGACCCAGGACTGAGCCATGGCCACCTCTATAAAGTCCATGGTATCCAAGAATAAGAAGAGATTTGAGGAGGGGAAGTTCAACTTAGATCTATCATGTATCCTTTCTGATACTGACCACTGATTAGTTGGCAGGCTTGTCAGATGTTGGCAAATGATTGTTATGGTTTTGTGAGGAGAGGAGATAGAGATGTTTTATGCTGGTTTAGAAAAGACAGATTTGCTTGTTATTGACTGAATTCATGATTAGGAGATTAACACTTAACAGGTTCTACGGCTAAGGTGTCATGTGTTATTGGGGACACTGCTTGTATTTAATAACTTGAAGTCTTTCTGGCATCTTTTCATCACATTTTCTTTGCTTTTCTAGTTTTTTTAAAATAAATATACCCAAGATAACTGGTAATCTGCTCATGAGTTTGCTAGTTATCACATTGTTAGATATTTTGTCTATTTTCCATCTGAAATATGTTATGCTGTGCTGGTTGTATGAATTAGGCTCCAAGTCTGTGTGGCATGCTGTTTCACCCCAATTGACATTGTTTCATCATGTGTTGGTCTGTGATCTGTTTTGCTCTTTTTGAATCCATCCTCCATAGTCCATATCCTTGATGCAGCCACCAAATGATGTTGTCAAGTACTATTTTCATAAAGTCAGCGTGAATGTATGAATGAACCCATTGACAGATTAACACGTACTGAGCAGAGCTTGTGTCGTTGGCCCCAAATTCAACCCTTACTGTCCATCGTCTGATCGTGCGAATCCTGGTTGAATCAGGACTCCAAATTTCAGCGTGCACCGCAACATGGCATGTCCCACTCCACAGGCTTCAGCTGACTGCACCAACTGCAGACCATCCCTTTCGGGAGTGTCAAACATCGAGCGCTGGAGTGAATCGAACTCGGGCTCTCGCCACCGTGACTTCAATGCTATATTAAATGATCTACGGGACACATTCATAGTGTCTTTGTTCGAATCCACCTTTCCGTGATTTTCCGCCAGTCTGTATTGTCCAGTACTCGTATCGACGAGAAATCCTTTGGTGAAATATCACAAAATCGATTGTTTTAACCACAAATAATGTAGTAGTACAACTGTTATCTGTGTTATAACATTAATCACCATTCCTATATATGAGAGTCAGGTCTGGATCGGATTTGCGTGTTTCCTTAACTCCCCTAACAGACATCACGGATAACATCATCGCCATGGGATACCCGGCGAAGGCCATAGAGACACTCTATAGGAACGATGCCAAGGAGGTACTGGAGTTCCTGAACAAGAGGCATCCGCAGAGATATAAACTCTTCAACCTGTGAGTACCGCTTAACTCGTTAAGTTGCATTTTCTCGTCGACTTAACCCGCGCCCGGCTGGGGGTCCTGGATTTCCACGCCCTGCTGGGGGGGGGGGGGTGTTTGAACACCCCCCCTTCTAACTCGGCTCCTGGGCCACGTAGCGATACGCGGAAGGCGGCGTTCGAAAGAGCGTCAAAAATAATGAGGAAATCACTT